CCTACAATATCAAAATTCTTTACCGTCCTTTCAGCTATTTGAAGAGCGTCCGCATCTTTACCATTTTGTCGGTAAGCGTTCAAAATAATATTATACATCAAAGCCTTTCGAAACCTTGGAAAAGGAGCATCAGAAAAGCTCTCTCTTAGTTCTAAGATAACTGACAAAGTTTGTTCCGCAAAGTGTTTCCAAGGCACCTTCAACGCACTCGGTTGGGGGTTATCGTTTGAACTGTGTAGTTGTTGAAAAGCCTGTGCATTGGAACACTCACGCTCTGCAAAAATATTCAAATAGGCCAAAAAGTTTTGGCCTAGAAATGTTTTGCCGGCTCCATAAATATGCGGCGCAAAACAGCAAGCCGGGCGATTGAACGAAGGCCCACCGTACGCCTTCTCCGAGAACTGAAAAAGAAACGTCCGTATAATTGTCCTGACGTCCTCTTCCCTGTCAATTTGTGGTTCTTTTAATCGGTATATTGTTTGCATTATCCAAAGACTGATACAACTCGAAACTTTCAACAACGAATGACCTAAACACAAATTGTAAATTGGACAAATTGATAATGTTTTTCAAGAGTTTCCAGGGCGGCTATACAGTTACTTTGGATATCTTTAAGTTGGTTTATGACACTTTAGCCACTTCAAACCTATCGAGGGATTAAAGTTATAAAAATGAAATTTAGGAATTTAAACCTCTCTTTGAACATATTTCAAGCTTTGAATTGTTTCTATTGTAACAGTCCCACCTTTTCCTTTGAGACGTTGAGCTCCACTTGGCTTGTATTGTCTTTTTGGATTGTCCAATATTGAATACCTCTGTTACTTTTATATATTCCATTCAAGAGATATCGTTGTTTAAACTCTGGTATTCCTTGGAAATTCGCTGTTTGCTTTTCGAGGAGATAACCAAGGCAATGGATTCCAAATAACTCAAGGTCGTGAACCTTTCATCTCTCTCGTAAATCAGCAGGTTTTTATTGAATGTTGTTTTAGAATATTTTTCGTGCATATCTGCAGTCAGAATCTTGGTCCTTTAGGCTCTTGTCGATATCAGCCCTTGGGTTCACATTGTTAAGATAGTTTGTAGGAACCTTACTAGATTCTTAGTCGAATCCTATTCCTTTTATTTTTGGGCACTTTAGTTATGTCCGTTTTCATTTAGGAAGATACTCTTTTTTAAGAGACGAATTGTAGGTTTGTGATCAGATTTGGAACATAAAAGACATTTCTCAGAATAGCATGCAGAAGAAATCCAGGGACTATTTCTGCCCATCTTTCATAGTTGTCTTTATTATTTGCCTTTGAATTGCTCATAGATTGGCACCTTTAACAGGGTCATATTATTAGATAAGTAGGACGCTCGTTAATAAGTTGACGAAACGTTTAAAGAAGATTCTGACCAGAGATAGATTGCTCCTTGCTATGATTGATTTTCCTAGACATTGTTGTTTTGATACACCTTGTAGATAGGTATTTATATAGTTTGTCTCAATGACTCATATCTATTCCCTTATGGATGATCGTTAATTCATTTATCACGAATTCTACCAAAAGAAAAATTTCAATAGTCATCTTACCCAGTCGTTTTGTTGTATCGTTTTACATAAATGATAAAAGTTTCTACTGAAAAAGCAAGGTGATGCTGACTATAGGAGTATTTTAGCTGTTAAAGAGACATTTCCAAAAAATGGACAAATAACAAAAGGTTTAAAAAGTTTACAAACTTTTGGCTTATAAGAGTACCAAAAATCAGTAAAGTCTCTATGCCCAAAAAAAAGCTATTATAACAGAAAGGAGTTTACATTTCAATGTTTCTCGTCATAGCAGAAACATCTGAGCAATCCTTTTACAATTCTTTTTATAGATGATTGTAAAACATTCCCATTTAGCAAACTCTTGCAAAAAAAGATAACATTGCTAAAGCAAGATTGCAATCGTACACATAGCGCTGTTCAAATCGGCATACAGTCTCATTCTTTTTAATACTGTATAATTAGGTAAGATTGCCGATGTAAATTTACCTTATGATGACAAGTGGTGGGTTCTTCGAATGGATAATTTTAAAACAAAAAATTAGGAAACAATGGAACTTAAGCTCTTGTAGTAGAAAGACTGCTCTGCTTCTTCTTCTTTTTTTTGGAAACTAGAAACATAAATGATCTAACAGTGCTATTAACGAATACTCTTATAACTTTTCACTGTTGACTTTCATTTGAAGAGAACTATAGGGTTGAATCTGGAAAGGGACGATCTTTGCAACTTTCAATCTTTCAGCAACCGTTTGAGATACTCTCTCTATGAGCTCCTTTACTTTAACAGTACTCTAAACTTTACCCCGTAAATTGTGTCCCTATTTGTATGTTTTCTAATACTCAATGACTCGATATAATCCTTGGCACTTGTGTGTAGACCCAGTCAATGAATGGCAAAGTTTGAGGTTATAACTTTTTGTGTTTGTTAACTATCCAAATATTGCATATATCAAAATATACCGGAGTAGCCATAGTAAAAACTCAACCTAACATTCCCTGAGGAGAGTAGTAGTCACAAGAAAGTTTCTGGATGACTCAAAGTCAGGTACGTTTGCGTTTAGAGCCAACGACTCAAAATGAAGCATTCCTATGTGGACAACATACTGCAATGGAATTATACAATATCTTGCAACAATGTCAATGTGATAAGAATACATAACTAACTATCTATTTGAATATGTGATAGTAATCTTTTGCAACAATACATTCCACATCTCAGCAAAGTTCCTTCCAAACAACATTTTCCAGGTACTAGAAACATACCTTTTGTCTAAATCATTGCGACAGATAACTGTTTGAAAACGATTGATGGTGCAGAATTTACAAAAACTTTTCAATCTGACTACATTTCTTTCTCCTTTACAATTTGTCAAATAACCACTCCTCTAAAGGGTTCAACGTATTACAAACTTACAATTCCAAACAAAAGATTCTAGTAAAATATTTCTTATTCTGTTAATATGAAAACCAAGCAGCTTTCGATCGATTCAACCAAGTTCCATCATCATTACATCTTTGAAGTTTGCACAACAATCTACAACCTTTTGTCCGCCAACTTGTGGTTCTATCAAACCTAATCTAGTTGAAGACTCATTCTACCTTTCAGAAAGGTAAAGTTTATGCTTGGTTATGGAAACTTGGGTGCTCACCCAATCACATCGGGTCTCTGGCTGATGAAGGTTTGTTTTAGAACCTTCACAGTTTCCAAAGTTGAGAAGTAAGATACCATAGTTTAAGCCTTGCATTTTATTTTGAATAAAAAGTTTTTTGTTGTATAACTTTCCATTGCTCAAATTGAGTCATTATCAACGTGTCTCAAGCTTCCATAGCGATTTATTTTGGTAACAAACTGATCCAACAGTCTTTTGAAGTCATCCATTGTGAGACTATGCTGAAAAATCGAAACATTTTAGAAACGTTTCAATTTCAACAAATATTCCATTCATACGTAGAGGAGAAGAAAGAATGTGAGATTCTAAAACAATTGGAACAAAGACAAAGCTCTTTCTGGTGTCATATAGAGTTTTCTGTTTCTCCAATACGGACTCTTTCATGACTTGAGAGCCTTTCCCAACAAAGTTTTCTACAATTGCTTCAAAATAGCCAATCTATTGTCATAGACACCAAAAGTGACTCAACTTATTGAACACAATTGTCGTATATTTAGTATTGATAATATTCAGAATGTATTATGCAATTACATAGCCATGTAAAATGGCTAGATAAGAATGAACTACTTTGAACCAGCCCTGTCAGCCAGCTAATAAACTCTTTTCGGAAAAGAATGTATGGTCTCCAAAGAGGCAAAAAAGTTTATTTGCTCTTCAAAACAAAGGGAAGGACTGAGTTAGAATCTATTGCCAACTTNAGAAACTGTTACGGATTCTATGAAGTAAATCTNATCCAAAATCCCAAAAAGTAGGATTATGAGAAACATGAAATGCTCTTTCAAGTCCATTCNATATTTCTTCGTCAATCNGCATTTGGACATCTCTTTCACAAAGAATAACAAGTTCACAATTATCAGGTACTTTGAACAAATCACCTCTAATAAACATTCCACTGGAGTAACAACGACTCTGATTACCCAACTCATTAGAAACATTCNATGATAACTTTGTACTAACGATAATAAGCATACAATGATGATAATCCATTGCACTGGATAAGACTTGATCATAAACAGGATCTNAAAATTTCTTGGCTTCATCTNTAATATCTGACCAGCCAATTCCTTCCGACCTCCAACGTCCTTTACAAG